GCCTTTATCCAATACTAAAACATCTTCCTTTATCTTCTTCAGTTCATGGAGGATACAACATGAAAATACATTATTGTGATTTAATTTCCCACCGGTACAGGAAGCTCATGTTTCCCCTAACACAACCACAAGCAGCTTGGCTCTTGTCCACTTCTCTCATTTTCTCTGTAATACCCTCTATTGAGTCTCTCACACCATCAAGTTGTACTGAAGCCGCAGCGCAGGATAACCAGGTCCAGAGACGGTTCTAGGGTCAACGGATAGCCGGGCTTAGCCTATGATCTCTGGATACTTGGGATGCACTTTTACATTTACATTTACTGTGCATTTAATCATTCAGCAGATGCTTTTACCCAAAGCGACTTGCCAATGACAACAATAGAAGCAAAAAGAACTTTTGATGTATTGGAATATGATGCAGTTTAAATAATATTGCATGCATTAGGAACCATTGTTCCTGTTAAGAACAACAGATTAAAGCAGCCTAAGGTGCATATCTGGTCTCCCAACTGCTGAGACTAGACTGTTGTGATGGTTTTAACAGGGTTTTGGTCACATTTCAGCTGGATGACTAGCTAAACCATCTTAACAACAGCTTGGCCTTGTTGGGAGATCAGCTAAACCAACTTACACCAGTTAAAACCAGCAAACAGCGAAGTTATTTTTTTCATCAGGGTTATGAAATTCATTTTTCAGTATTACTGGAGCTAAAACTAAAAAGAACTGTACTGTAGTCACCGCCTCAAATGTGCCACATAGTCATGTGTTTTTAATCGCCACATGTAGCTTAAAACACCATGAGATATCTGAGAACATGTCTGGGAATAAAATAATAAAAAAAACTTTTTAAAAAGGTTTTTTTTTTTTTTTTCACTTGAAATCATCATTTAAATTTGGTGATTAGTAATGAAATTTACGTCAATATTCACAAATAAATAAAAATACAACATAACACATGAGTTATATACTTTTAGTATGAGTTGTAGACTTTTTATAGTATTTTAATGGTTCCTTAAAAAATTCTGATTGTGTGATAGCATGGAAGAAAGAAAATATATGGTTAGAATGACATAAATGGCATGCAAATGATGACAAATGTTTATTTTTGCATGAACTATTATTTTAACCCTATAAAGCCTACTGTAGTATATTTCTAACACCTGTAAATTTTCAACATGATAAAAAACCTGTTGCACTCAATCTACTACATGCCTTCTGTCGTCTAACTGATAGTTTATACTTTTTAAGAAGGTAAAAGGCCATTTGTAAATTTGTAATTGTAAAAATGTCCACCTTCAGCTAGTGGTTCATGTATTTTTTTTTTCTGTAAAATCTTTCTATATTTTTATAAAGTAAGCATAAGAAAAACTTTTATATTGTTAGTAATATATCAAAATGAACACTTACTGGACTGAAGCAACTTTGGCTTACTTGATTATCCAGACATCATTTTTTTGAAAATCATGTTCAAATGTGAGTCTCAAATATGATCATCAGGCTTTTGCAAAACGTTTATTTGTTCATCTCTCAATCATCATTGTATTGCATTGCATTATACGTTTTAAAACTACAGAGTTTGGATCATAAAACTAAGCATTTAAATATCTTATTGAGACATATTATTGGGAGATATAGAGCGACAACTGATATTTATATGCATTTTATATCAGTAGTCTGCTATACTGTTAGATCTCATTGATTTACATTACAAGCTCAGAATTTCATCTTATTTTTGGCCATATAAATATTAGCATCTACACCAAATTGCATATTTTTACTCAGTTTGGGCCTCTGAAAAAAATGTTGATGATGTATAAGATTGATGTATAAATTATTATAGTCAAAAAAAAAAAGGTTCAATAAACTGTTTTTTCAAAATATTAAACTTTACAGACTATTATTTAATTCGTCAGGCTTAAGCCCCTGAATTACTATCATAGTGCCCAAGTCTTCTGCTGTGGTAAGCTGACGCGACCCGCACATTGTTGGTAAAGTGCTTTACTGACAGGAAACCCCAACACTCGCACACAACATTAATATTTAGATCACCCTCTGGGTAGACACAAGAGAAAATATCTAGCCTGTAATCGCTCTAAATTTATCCTTTCCATCTCCTGCTTTCTTCCTCCATCCCTGCTTCTCTCAGTCGCCAGCTCTTGAAGCATAGGTTCGCTTTCATTTCCCCCCACAGATGGAGTCGCACTCAGACTTGGACGTGTTCCTTTTTTGTCTCTCTCTTTCTTCCTCGGATCTCAGCAGGGACCTGGCAACTCTCTATCCTTCCGTCTCACTCTCAGCTCATCTGTTTCTGTGCTTTTGAGCTCACAGACGCGGATCCCCGTCCTCAATGCCAGGCTGCCAGCGCTCATCATACTGAACAATCTCCTTTCCTGTTAACTGACTGAATCCAGTTCAGACGTCCTTAAAAGTCCAGCATATGTGCATCTGGTGCTGTCTATAGGATGATGCATAAACTGGACATGAACAGACGATACTCTCAGGAAACAAAACCGGCAAACGACATCTCCTAAATATCTCAAATGTGTCTCCTCAACTGGTTTTGCTTCAGGGCCCAGAATAGTAGTGAACTAACACAGTAGTAAAATTGCTTATGTGCACAAATGTAAACTAAAATGAAATGTATTAAAATCACATATTTACACAAACGCATAATGTCATTAATTATTTTAATAATTATTATCAATTAAAACCAATTAAAATATTAAATATTAAATATTTTAAAATATGAAATAATAATACATTTGTTACATCTGAAGCTTCTTTCCCTCAGAAAAACATCCCATTACAGTCTTAAAAAAACGGTTCTTTATTGCCATTGATGGTTCCATGAAGTACCTTTAACATCCATGGAACCTTTCCATTCCACAAAAGGTTCTAAGAAAAAAGGTTCTTCTAAGAATGTACCATTGAAAGGTACTTTGGGGAACCAAAGAATGGTTCTTTAAGGCATCACTTCAAAAACCCGTTCTGGATCCTTTTGTTTTAAGAATGTATAAAAGATAAATGTGCTATGTTAAATGTTCTTGTAAGAGCTTTCTGTGTCACTCCGCCCCCTTCCTAATTTAAACAAACCACACACGTCCATATATGTGTGCGTGCAAGTGTTTGTGATTCTCCAGGTCTCCTCTGGGAGTGTTATTCACACCTTCATTCTAGGCTGGAGCAGATGAAAATGTGTGGTGACGTGGGCCGCTGTTATTGATTTTGGTAGACCTTGTGCAGCGGGGGAGGTTACGTAAGAACAGGCAATTATACCTTGGACTTATGGGAAGAAGGAAACGTCCTGAATGTCCACCTGGATCTTCCTCAGCGCTCTGAACACTGATTCACACGCCTGCAGGTTTCAGCCATTCAGCTGATCAGGTCTGCCTGCTAGTCCTGATGATTGTGTTTGGTTGTGACACACACTCTCGCAGATTTCATCCACTTGTTTTCAGCTGTAGAGGCTGTACTATATATTTGAATGTTGAGCAGCGAGCTCATTGGCTACCGATACAGGAGAGAACCAATCAGCTGCCATGTGATAATGATGTCATTAGGTCAGACTGAGTTAGACCTATCAGACTGCGCCATCTAGAGTTTCATGCCAGAACTCTGTATATATTACATTGGCAAACTACCATTGCTTTTCAGACACTCATTTAGATTTAGTCTCACATAGCCAGACTTTTGACCGTCTGATCCACATTGCAGCACATTCTGGCCAAGAATCGTTTGCTTTAAGACGGGAACAAACTTTCTGATTGTTGTTTACAATGACTTGTTCAGATGCAGGTAAATCTGAAATCAGATACAACCCAAAAAGCACAGCTGAATAATATAAAGATGCTCTCAAGGACACTTGGCTTGTTTACTTGCGACTGTCTCAAACAAAACTGCTGAATATCTTTCAAAGACGCGATGGCACAAACCTCACAGACTTTGGCAAATGCAGCGATTTCTTCCTTGGAAGCCCTCATAGTAGCAGACTGGGAACTTGTAAACATGATATTGTTTCCAAGTGAACTGAGACAGATTCACAGAATTGTGTAAAGCATAGTTCTCAAGTGGTTTTAGTTTAGTGCCTAGACCTGGTTTGATGCTCTTGGAAGAAAATACACATTTTAGGAGACTTTTTTGCCATATTTGCCTTGCTTTTAGCATATGACACATGAATTTGTTTCAAATGACTAGACGTTGATTGAACACATAGCCTCTGATGTCAAAAACAAAGTCTACACTGCAAAAAAAAAAAAAATTCTCAGTATACAGTACGTCTTTCCACACACACAAAAAAATAAAAACATCCTTAAAAATAAATTCACTAAATAATTAATAAAAATGTAACATATACTTTTATTCAGCAAGGATGCATTCATTTGATCAAAGGTGACAGTAAAGACGTTTATAATGTTTCAAAAGATTTATATTTCAAATAAATGCTGCTCTTTTGAACTTTCTTTTCATAAAAAAGAAAGAAAAATCATGGTTTGCACAAAAATATAAAGCAGCACAACTGTTTTCAATACTGATAATAACATTTTTTCTTGAGCACCAAACCAGCATATTAGACAGTCTATATACTGTATATAAACACACCAGTTGAGAACCAGCTGATTTTTGCATAATTTTTGCCATTTTTGCAGACTTATGCAACTTATGCATCGTTCTGTGAAGTGTCTTTTTGCCTGAGACTAATAGTATAATCACAGACAAGTTTAAAAGATCAAATTTTATTCGTATGTTGACGTATTATTCACCAGGAAGCTAAAAAGAAATAGTCTGGCTCATATTTAACAGTCAACTCTTTATTTAGCAAGGACAGTTGCATATTTCCCTAAACGCCTTCCCACAAACTCATGCATACTAAGACCTAAAATGGGCAGCAATTCATTTTAGCTCCATTCCATAGTATGACTTCCACTGAATGTATTTTTGCAAATACTTTATGTAATTCTGCATTTGTGCATATAAACGCATAGAAATTAAAGGTGTCTTACCTGTATATGATACAGGCACAGTCTCTGCAGGTGCCACAGTTCTCAGTGTCCTGTCCAGTTCGGTATGAGTGTCTTCTGAAACACACACAAGAAAACAATTACCAGGGGTTTTTAAAACTGTGAGCGTGTTGTAATGAAAGAAGACCTAATAACTTTAATGCTATTGCTGACAGACAGCATAGATTGTTTATTGCACAACCTAAAGCATGTAAAGTATGTTGAATCAAACGCAGCTGAAGCAGCTCATGTTCGTGGCGTCTTTGATGAATGACTCTTGTGAGTGTCTGACAGTTATAAGAGTGAGTCACACCTAACAGGACTATACTATCATTCTGCTTCTGCTTAATTAAAACCCTGTTGTTAGTGTGTGTTTATATATTGCGAATGTGAGACAGAAGGCATATTCTGAGAATGCCAAGTTTGCATTATTTGCATGCAGGTATTACAGATATCAGGAAGTCAACTTACAAATGGATTCGTTATAGTTGTCTCTGCACATTAAGGCCTGGTTTCACAGGGCTTAGGTTAAGCAAGGTTTAGGCCAGTTAGGATATTTAAGTAATTTTTATAAACATGCCTTAGGAAAAAACATTACTGATGTGCATCTTGAGACAAAACAAGGGCACTGACATATTTTAAGATCAATCAGTGCAAGTTTCTTTCAGTTGAAACAGCTCAGATTTACATTTTAGTCTGGGACTAGGCTTAAGTCTTGTCTGTGAAACTGGGGGTAAGTATTTTGCATTTAGTACCTTTTAAGAGCTCTTCTTTTTACACTATATTACAGCAATGCATATGATTTCACACTGAAACCAGGTGCTGCTAAATAAAAGCATGTGGCAGGAAGACTATATGCACGCATGCATACATGTCACATACGGTGCCTGAGTCTCACATGGGATAACAATGCTAGCCTGATTTAGCAGCTCGACACAATGAGGACTAATTACACATCACAGATTTCCGGAATCTTCCTCCTCGCCTTCCTCGACTTCTGGAATTTAAAAGCTGATGGTAATCCTGAGGCTCTCGAGCAGCGCTTAAATAATCCACAGATGGGAATCAGTCATAGAGAGGCTTTATGTGAAGATCTTTCATCTATTTTTTTTAACCAACATGCTTTATATTTAGAATAGCCTGCACTTTACACAAAACATTTATCTGTGACGTGCATCCATCCATCTATCCATCCTTGTTATTTTAGTATAATTTATTTAGCTTCTATTGTTTTTGTTTTCATTTTAATTTTATTTTGCATTTTAGGAATTTCAGGGGTTTTTTTCTATTAAGATTTTATTCATTATTTCAGTTTACCAAATTCTGTACTCCAACTTCAGTTTAGTTCACTTTGTTGCCAACGGAACATTTCTACTTTCTATTACTAAGTTTATACTAAGTTTTTTAAAAGTTACATTTTTTTTAAGTTTTAAGCTTTTCATAACATTTTTGTCATTTATTTCAGTCATTTGTTTTATTTTAAGTTCTGTACTTTAACTTAAAATTTATTCCGCTGCCAGTGCAACATTTATACTTTCTTTTTAAGTTATCTAAGTTTAAGCTTTTCATCGGGATTTCAATTTTTATATTTTATTTCAGCTCTATTTCAATTAACAAAAACTACCGTTAATATTTTGTCTTATTCTATATGTATTATTGCTATCTATTTATCTATCTATCTATCTATCTATCTATCTAGCCATCTGATTTTATATGCATCTACGGTGTATTAACTGCAGAAGTGACAGCTTTAACATTAAAGTAAAATGTTTTTAAAGGTCATCAGTCTTGCTCTCTCCTTTTCCTTCTCACATGCAAACACTCACACACACACACGATCAAGGCAACAGTCTCATTAAAAGCTGGTTAAAGTCTCACCTTAATTAATTCACTGGGGGACAGCCTAGTCATTTGTCATCGACACAACAAAGCTCCCGTGTGTGTGTGTGTGTGTGTACATCTCTATTCTCATAATGTGAGTAGCCAAAATAAAAGAGGAAAGTGATGAAATAATCAATAGTCCTAATGATTTAATTCCCCAGAAGACGTGACCTTTGAATTGAAAACACCAAACAAAAGATTTCAACTATTTGACAAAATATAGCCACTATTACCTAAATAAATATATAAATTAACCAACCTCAAAGCCAATCAGTCATAATTGGTGGTGCTATTGCTCATTAATATTTGAACAACATTATAATTTAGTGTCAAACTCATCAATCACAAGACATAAAAAAAAATTAAGAAATCTTTACCAAGAAAAAACAGGAAAAAAAGATATGCATGGCCTCTTAGGGATTCTGGACATTAGACGGTGCATTAACCAAAAATAGTAATTTTACTTATTCAAAATATTGTCATTTTAATAAATGAAATATAAGGTATCTGGTCAATTGTGTTTCCCTACTAAACTCGGGATGGAAAGTGAAGATAAGACATGAAGGACAGTTCAAATCCTGCTGCTGTTTAAAGACATACAGTATGTGCCTTATAAATACTAATAAACAGCAAATATGCTAGTAATATGCATGCTAGGCAACTTGTAAACAGCTTGTTAACAGTGAATAGTGTTCTCTTAAGTATTACAGATATCTGTTGGTCTAACATGTTTTTTTTCTTCTATAGTTTCATATAATTCACTCAAAATGTCTGGGATGTTGCTTTTTTATAGTGCTGTAGCATCACGATGGCAACTTGTGCACAAGCACAAGTGACAATTTTGCAATACAAATTACTTTTCGTAAGTTTCTTTACAGTCTGAAAGAGGACAAATGCTTGATTAAGAAAGGTGACAAAAGCCAAACGAGGCAGGAGATTGATTAATGACATATTCACAAGAACATCTGAAAATTACCCCAAGTGTTCTTAGATCCATTTTCTGAGATGACCTTTCAGTGTTAATTACTCTGAGAGGGACGCTGTGGGGATTTAAGTGTAAGGTATTTTCCAGGTTAACTGAATACAGCGGTTTAAGATTCATATAGAGCAGATGTTCATGTTTTTACATTGCTATTTTACATACTGGTGCTCAATTGATTCATACAGATTTTACTTGAATCTGTGATGTATGTGCAGTCATTTCATTGCCACAACAATTTGTAAATCAGCAAGAAATCAAAACTGACACTGTAAACAAATTTTTTAAGTTACTGGAGTATGTTTTAAAAGAAAACACTATTTCAATCTTCCTACTTCAAAATTTCACATTTCATTCAATGGGTTACTTGTCATTTCTTTGTAAAATTGTGTGGAATTTACTAGCAATTTCTGAATGAAAAACATTTTCCAAAGAAAAA